GTTTTCATTTTACTTCAATTAAAATTCATAAATATTCAATTAATTTAAAATAAAATTACAAAAGGAGAAGAGTTTTAAGTCTTTAATTTGCTTTAAAAAGCTGTCATTATCTACATTGTGGTATTTGCATAAGAAAAAGTTAAAGAATCATCTCTGTATTTGGTACATAATTTGAACGCTAAAAGTAAGTTGGAGTGGCGGTCTTGTTTCCAAAAAAGCCCACTTGTGTTCAAATAATGACCCATTGTAACACCACAGAAATGGCATTGGCAAGTGAAATCAGTATACAACCAACGCCGAAAAATGTTATGACTCCTCCATTGGGTAAAGGAAAACCAACCTTACAGTTCTATATATTTGGCTAAGTCCCTAATATTACAGGATGACAGGTCGGTCAGGTAGCTTAGAAAAGGAGCCCCGAAGATTTTTGATCTTCTCCTAGCTAAAAAATGGCACTGACACATGAGATGGAACACGATCTTCTCCTCATCTTCAGAGCCACAGCAACGACAAAAGTCAGCTTTCCAACCTGCCTTCCTATTTCGCAGTGGCCCATCAGCACATACTTAGTTGAAGTAACTGACTAGTACGTAGTTCTAGTTCTAGGCTTAATTAAACCAAGGTATCTGACAATGGAGTTCTTCAGCCCAGTATTGCTTGTCTATGCTCAGGTATTTTTGTTAAATTCCAGTTTAACTGTAGCAAGTGGTACGCTAATATCTGAGAAGTAAATATCAGGAAGAAAAGCTCCTACGAGATATCCCTATGACCAGGAACCGAAATGAGTTTAACCTTAACAAGCCTATAAGTTATAATAAAAACTAAGAAAGGCAATATAAAAAAAGTATAGATTTATAAGTCATTATCAGCATCACATTTGACTGTACAATTCACATAGAGTTTTCATCTACATCAGAGTAGTTCGCCACAGTTTTCACATATATGTCAGTTGCATTTTTTTTGATATGATCTATTCATATTAGTCGAGATCTTTTTTTGCTACGACCAAGTTAGGGTTAGGTGCAAGAGTTAATTTGTATGTCAAACTTTATTATGTTACCGTAGGGATCTTACTATAAGATCGTGACGAGTCTGTTGTTACTTACTACCTTATTTTCTTAGCTACCACACTTTAACCAATTGATTATTTCTATCTCATCCAAGATTCTATATAGTTCTAGCTGTTTTGTTAGGTCCAAGTAATTAAGTAGTCTCATCTTCCCGCCTATTTTGCGTTTTTTTGAGGAAGAAATATATATCACAGTCTAGCAGGCACTGATTTATATGCGAATATTTAGAAAAAATCTGATATATAACGATTAATTTAGCTCTTTTTCAGTTTATTTTCAAAAATATATTAATAATGGGTAGTTATGAGTGAAACTCGTCGTTGAATCAGAATCTTCGATTTCGATTGTCATTTAGTGGATCACGCTAGGTTAAAAGGTGTGCCGTCTGTAATAGAATGATCTATAAAATATTTGCATATATACTTTATTCTTTCTATGAATGATATATAAAAAAATAAATGATATTTAAAAGAAAATACAAGAAGAAAAAAATTTGAAAGTTGTGAAGTTAATTTATTATGAAAGCATATGAAATGAGTAAATATTATGCTTTTTGTGAGCTAATGTTTCGTAAAGCAAATAATGTAATATTATGGTTATTTTTTGCACTTTGAAAATTGATGCTTTGAAAACAAAACACAAAAATAAAGGACTTTGAAGACAGACACAAAATAATTCGCATGTTGTACAAAGGATATAAATTCATCGCATGCTGAGTGTTGCATATTCCCTTCATTAATTAAAAACTTCGCAAGTTTACTGTGGCAAATAAAAGTGCACCAAAACGTGCATAGATGTGATGTGAACAGAGACAAAGAAAAATACACTAGTAAAAATGCAAATAAATCATACCACAGTTCTGGAAAAGTTACATCCACTTTTGGAGACAAAAACTCCATCATTAGAGGTAATGTATTTGCATATTAGCAGTCGCGCGCGAAGGGACTAGTTCCTCCCCTTCATGCAAATTATAAGAAAATTCACACTTCTCAATTTGAAGTGAAAGGAAGAAGTAGTCGTACAACTGAAGATTTCAAAGTACTTACAAATATTTTACTACTTTCAAATAATAAAGAAAAACTGAAGTAGATACTATTGCCGTTAACTCATTTATTCATAGGAAAAAATCAACAATACCGCTCCATTGTAGAAATAAAAGTGCAAAAAAAAGAAACTTCTTTCAAGTTCTATCATAATATTTTTATAAATAATATAATTTAGAGTTAAGTGTAGATTTTGAATAACTATTTTTTTAGGGATATTAATTCAATATCATATTAGTTCATAAAAAATATGTTCAATGCAAAAATTAATGAACTAGTTCAATTTCAATCGAGAACTATTTTTTAAGGGATACTAGTTCAATATCATATAAGTTCATAAAAATATATCGAATGCAACTACGCATATATAATATATTGAATAACTGTTTATTATAGAGATACTAGTTCAATATATAGTTCATAAAAATATATTCAATGCAAAAATTAATAAACTAGTTCAATTTTAACTATTTTTTTTAGAGATATTAGTTCAATAACATAGTTCATAAAAATATATTCAATGCAACTATGAATATATATTGAATAACTATTTTTTTAGGGATATTAATTCAATATCATATTAGTTCACAAAAAAAGTTCAATCACAGTCGAAATAGTTTTTCTTGCAGATAATATATGAAGTGATGTACTATACTCGTGGAAACCAATCATGCTAATCATAGTAGGTTAGGGAAGTCTTCTCTTTATAAATTAAGCTTAAATTTTTTTAACAAACATGTTTTAGCCTACTTTGGTAAATAGAGCCTTTTAGTCTATCAGTACATAGTAGCGTTCTTAAAGCGGTAGTTACTACAAGTAAAAAGACAATAAAGTACTCCAGTTGGACTGTTAGCGACACTCATTTCATACTTCTATTCCTTCTGAAATCAAAAACAGTTGCTATACGACCATGTACTATTTAAAATTAACACTTAAATTCTGTCTTCTTATTCATTGAAAAATTATTTCATCGACCCAGGATCAACCAGTATACCCCAGCAAAACGTCACAAACATTCTGTGTCGCTACAAAAAGAAAAGGAAAAGAAAAATATTCAGGTCCATTGAAATCTCGATAAAATGTGGGTAAATATATATTACTTAATTATTTACGAATTCGATTTTATTACAAAAAGTCCTCACATGAAAATTCATAAGACTATCTGAAACTTACATATGTCATACCATCGATTGTGGTCTATTAGATTTACAAGGCCTAAACTTTTCACACACTTTTATGAGAGGAGCCAGCCCATGAAATATTAATCTTAGAGCAAAAAAAAAAAAAGAATTACTTACGACACATGACTATTTGCTATTCTATGGAGATCTGCATATAAAATAACTCTTTTTCTTTAGTTATTTTTAATATGTTAATTACTTTCACAACACCGTTGATAAAATAAGAATCCCATTCTCATGGAATGGTATCAGCAGACATTGAAAGTATTCTCCAAATCAAATTATTGAAGAATTTTATTTTCCTATTTCTAAAACAGAGTAAAAGATCCCAAATCGAGGAGATTTGTAGAGAACTATTGCTCGACCCCGTATCAGTTGAAGATGACATACGTAAATGTATTTGTGTGTTCACATATATTCAGCCATATGTGCATATATGTTTGTGTGTGTAGAGTAAGTGTTTTACAATTGAGGACATCCTTCTCCCCAATGCAGAAAAACGAAGGATTTTCTTTTTAATTTTTTTTTTTTGGGGGGAAAATTTTTCCTCTCGCAAAATTGTTTGCTTTTTAAATTCAATTTGGCGTTTAGCTTTTGCTTTCATTTTAAGTGTCTTTCCTCTGCTGTTATTCCTGCTTAAGCCAAGTTAAGCTGGTAATTCAATTTGGAAATGTTGTTCGTAAGGATCAGATTATGTCAATGATATTTTGTGAAACAGAATTTAACTGCAACGCGGTGGTTCAGCAAAGAAAGCTGTATAGAAATGTTGTATAAATATTATAAACAAATATGTTATTTATATTATTTCATTATGCATTTATTGCGTTATAATAAATACTTAGTATAAAGATTGGTATCATAGTCATATATTTCAAGCAGTTAAGATACTTAGCTTATATTTGTCGAATGGATGATTGTCAAAAAGTACTTTGGAGGCGGTAGTGTATTGCAACTGCAAGTATACTTAAGAATGCTGCAAATACTTTTGAAACTAATGAGAAATCACTGCAGAAGATGTCAGGTCCAGTTGTGTTAATACATTCACCTTTGATTAGGATAAAAGAAAATAAAGCTGATTATTACGACAGGCGAGAAATAATTCAAGAAATTGCATAGTCGGATCGTCCCAAGGCATTAACTTAAGATTGAGTTGAAAGAAAAATCATGCTATTACGAATAATGAGGAGTTATTCAAGAAGTTCCTGTCTAGTCGTCGCAAGACATTAACTTAAAATTAAGTTCAAGAAGAAACTATCCTGGCTAACAAAAGAGTATAAACACTATAGAACTTGATGAAGATATATACGTGTAATGTCACGATATTAGTGGTAGAAAAATTTTTCACTTATTCAACAATTCGTGGCGAAAGGCCATCTATTTGCTTTGTAAAAACTGTTCTTCAAAAAGTTTCAGATATTTACACAGTGGTTTAGCTAAGCACCTTTGTTTGTTTTGACGCCATTCTTAAGAAATTGATCTTGAATTAGTCTTTTCTACTGCTAGTTTTAGATATAAGCCGGCATAAAATTTAGTGAAGTATCTTGTTGAAATGATGTAATATCTTCTAAAATGTTAATGTTTTCATCACAAAACTTTATTTGTGCTCGAGATCTCTTCAATTTTTACCTTAATTAAATGTATAAGAAGTATGTTTATGCTTTAATTTTAGAAAATTTATTAATATACAATTTAATTTTTGATTACTGAAATGGAATTTTCAGCATTCGCTGGGTTATATTTTTAATTTATTCCTAAAAGGAATCCACGTAAAACGTATAAACATATACCTTGTAAACATTAAGGTTTATTTTCTACAAAAATAATATAAATTGAATGGTTGCATGTAATCCTACTTATAAGAACTCAGAGAGTATGGACTTAACCGTGGGTTGCATGTTTTTTGCCTGAAGAGAGTACAATTTACCAATTGGACGTTGCTTAAAAGTAACCTCTGATTGTGGTCTGCGTAGATAAACAAAATTTTTAACTAAATCATATCTCATCTTGGGATTAACAGCTAGAATTGGTTGTTGTTCCTTAGTAGTGTCACGAATGATTTTCTTCTTTTTCAAACGTTTTGCGCAAACCTCAGCGTATGTCAAAGAATGTCCATCTTGTGCAGTTTCTAGTTCCTCCTCTGAGTCTTCCGCAGTAATAGTAGGATCCTTACTAGCATGAGTGGGGCGCGAATCATTTTTAGCGGATGGTGCCTTTAGGAGTGATGCCGAATCAACTAAAACTTAATAGTAAAGCATTTGTAATATACTCAACACTGTAAGACATATGCATATATTATTATTTACCTTTGGTGCCACTGGATACTTTAGGGGGTCTTAAATAACTGAAACTCTTTCCGATATCTGGCTTCTTTTCAGCTGGAGCGGCACTAATTTTTGCTTTTCCATAAGCCTGCTTCACTTGAGCCTTTGCGAAGTTTGGAAAGCAGCCTATAATTGAGTCCATATTTTCCGAAATGGTGAAAATAAAAATTAATGGAATCTCAGCACGTTAATATATCAGACAAAAGAGTTTTGTTACAAAAGTTAAAGCTACAAAGAAAATTGAGCTAAAAATCAAAATAAATTTTCTTTGCAGAAACTTAGAATTTTACTTATAGAAGATTTTCTCAGAACAATATAAGAAACATAACTTCTCAGAAAATTTTTTTTTAAAACTTTTTATTTTGAAACACTTCTGTCTACTTCGATGTTATGAAATAATTAATATAAATTTTTAAAAATGTCAATGGAAAATTGATTACAATATACATATACATATATATTATATTTATAACAAGTAGAAGTTATAGCCAAAATATATATGGTACAGTCATGTCACAATTGTCATGGCAGTTTTCTGCTCTTGCTATTATTTTAAAGTTTCGTTTGTGCAGAAAGGGTTCGTCGGCTCGTCAAAACTGTCTCTTTTAGAAGATGACTTCAATGCCTGTTCCACAAAGTGGCATATCAGAACTTTGTAATATTACTACCACTGCACATGACTATATGTATGACGTGGCACTTATGTAGGCAATCCAATTTAAGTTGTCAATTTTATGTTGTTGCTAGTATTTTAATACTTATTGGTTGTGTTTATATATAAAACAATATATTCTTTATGTCGATTTGCTTATATTTTTCTTGTTTTTATAACATTTATTAACACTATTTTAACTCACTTAACATAATGTAAAAAAGGACGCTATACGAAAAAACAGTTCAATCACGAATGCCGTTCGTATACGACTGCCTTTACTTACGCACGAGCAAAGAAGTTAAAGAATATAATGAAAAGAAACTGAGAGTTACTCGAAAATATATGTATAAAACTTTTTGGATTATTCAAATAATATTCAAAATTTTGTGTAATGAGGTGAAAATATCACGCAGTACAAGAACAAAAACCCTAATGTTACACAATGGTACGTGATGATTTTCACCACCCGGTCTTGCTATTTTGTCCACCCGGCCCCATTCATTGCGATATTTGCTAAAATCAGAGCACTTTCTTAGAAATTTAGTTGTTTGTTGTGATTTTTTGTTATTAAAAATTTATACTGCCAAAAAAAGGGGGAAATTGAATTTATCTTATAAAAGCATTAAAAAAGGTAATTATTTCACCAAAATGTATAAATTATTACTTAGTAAAAATTTATTTACAGGTGAAACAGAAGTGCGTACTTGGATGTTTGAATTTCAAGCATCTTTATATTTTTCCAAAGAATTATCGGAGGTAAATTATTAATTAAAAATAATATAATTTATTAATTTATTAGAAATGAAGATGTATGCCAAAGTAGTGTATATAATAAACTACCAATTTATTTGTGCATGTTAGTTATAATTTAGTAGTAGTATAATAAAGTGATTAGAATATTATTTTTTCCATGATATAATAATAATTATGAAAATGAAAAAATCTTAAAGCAAAATTAATATTTTTAATTATACTTCGGTTGAGTGTTCTTATTATAAATAGATATTTATAATTATGTTAATTATATTTTAACAAATTGCACATCTGTTAAAAATTATATATGTGTTTTAAATATATGTTTTTATTATATGTTATTTGCGATTTTGTTTTTTGATTGTTTTTTTTCTCACACAAATCATATTGTTTTGTAAATACAAAGTTATATACATATTTTGGTCGATAGGCCTTATCGAGGAACTGAACACCTAAAACTTGGTAACTCGCCAGCAGGTGTACCTTCTTCTAATTAGAAGAAATAGCTACATACTAATATGCAACCACAAATGTAGTAAACACTTAAGTTATAAGCCACACCGATTTTAATATTTGACAATTCTGGTATGGTGAATAAATAAGAAAGATTTTTTGCGATATTACACAAAAAGGCACAATGATTCAAAATTTTCTCTGTTTCTTTTCATTATTTTTTTTGCACACGAGCTTACCTTCGTCATCTTGCATCATATTTAAGGAAATCGAGTAGATTCAATATTCAATCGGTCTCTGTTATATTATCAAATATTATTTTAAGTACTTGATGATGTAATAACTATTTCACCACCCGCGAAAAATCTTTTATTTCTTTTTAATTTTTTTCATGAAAATGCTTTCTGAACTCTATGACAAACGTCTCATTAACGCCTGAAACGAGAGCATTCTTCGAAAATTCCTATTCCTTTGCATGAAAGTGAGACTCATGAGAATGAAAGAGACGGAGATGTATATTTAAATGCATGCACGTGTTTTATTTTCGCAAAGTTCCGTTATTTTCTTTCTTTTTAAGAAAACATTTCAATTTGATATTTATATTTTATTTATTTATTTATTTATTATTTTTATGCATTCAATTATTCTTGAAATAGAGCGCAAAAGTGAGGAACGCTTTACCATAGGCATGATAACAATAGATTTCATGCGAAAAAGAATTTATAGTACAATTTTTATAGTCAATTATATACATACATATATGTATATAAAAACTTTAATTATAAAGAAGTGTGCGTTAGTTACTAATTATTTTATTATAGCCAAAGACCATACACATTAATCAAATATCCATTTAATAATATCATCTCAGTTGATTTAATTTTTAATATATTATATTCAAATAGTTTAAATAATTGTCAATTTTATTTTTAGTTTTTTTATAAACAGTTTCAATTGACATACAATTGAAACAAAAAGAAAAACAATATATTTGCAAAAAACTGAATTTAGTTATCACTTTTCAACTTTATGGCCTACATGTTGGCCAAAAACGCCAAAACAAAGATTTATGGAACCCAGTGGCGTAACTACATTTTTTAAGCCTGTAAGCAAATTCTAACTAAGGGGCCCCTCTTTTTATACTCTTTACACGAAAAATGTGAAAAGGGTATATAAGGTTTGTCAAGATTTTCGTAACGCATTAAAGGAAACGTCGGAAATACCATTAAGTATATATCAGTACAGTATATATATACTTCTTCAGTTCAAACTACTCTCTCAGCTTTTGAACTCTTCGAATGAAACTTTACACACATACTTTTAGCCGACCCTGTTCACCATTTGATTTGATTGAAATTGGACGTTTATATCTTGTAGCTGTGATATAAACTTAACAATCGGATATGAGGTTTATCCGTTTTTAATAAAGGTATTTAAATAGAATTTAGTGTATACAGTACTGATATTTGCAAAAGACAACGTACAAAATTATTTTCAAATGGGTTTAAATCTAGATATAGCTTCCATATAAACTCTCGATTAAGACACATACTTTTCTTAGAAAAACTTTTTTATTTTATAAATAGGTTTAATATTTTATTTGAAGTACATACATATTATGTACTTTAAATTTAAAATTTACGTATCTTTTATAAAATGCAATATGAAGTTATTCCAACAAAAAACGTTTACAAACATTTATAGTGGGGCCCCCTAAATTCGGGGGCCCAAAAGCGTTGCTTCCCTGTAGTTACGCCACTGATGGAACCTAACAGCTTTGATTTCCCTTTAATCCGAGATTACATACTAATTTCATTGGACAAAAAACCAAACAATGTCATTCTTTTATACCAATATTGACATGATTTCCATAAATTTCTTTAAATTTGGTTCATAATGTCTGTTACCAATTTGCAGGTGTCAAGAAAATAATGCCCAAGAAAATAATACTTGGCTGGGGTTTAAGAGTATTATCAAACCTGTTGCATAGTTTAAGGTCTAAAAAAACAACATTCTTACAGAACAAAAAAATGTTAATATATAAACAATAATACTTCAGCTTTCGCTTATAACAAAATCTTTCTTCGAAAATTTCTTATTCTTTCATGCATGAAGGCGAAACTTATAAGAATAAAAGAGACGGAGATAAGTACTTAAATGCACGCATGTTACGTTCGCAATGGTCCGACATATTTTTTTTAATAAAACATTTTAATTACATACTCATATTTTATTTTATTATTTTTAGTTTTTATTGTTAACTAATTTATTTGCTTTATTCGTATTCGAATCAATTATTGTTTTGTTCGTTTACGCCCACGAGTCTTCTTGCGCCGCTCCTCTAGAGCTTTCTTAGATGGAACAGCAATTAGACTAATTTTCTCTGCTGATGTAACTTCCTCGCCGCATTCCGTGACCACAACATTCTTAAGTTGAAATATAGACCGGTCTTCCCGTATATTAAAGGAAGCACAGGTTCCATTACTCAAGACCAACTGCGACTTGGTAATTTCTGGCAGAATGATAGCCATACTTTTGTCGAATTGTTCTAAGACTTTAATCATTAATCCTGAATTAACACGCCCGGCCTGCAAAGATAATGAAAATCATCAGTAAAACAATTTGTTCAATATAATTTTTGATATATACATACTTCTTCCATTTCCCGCAAGGTATCTTCCAGTGCTTTGCCTAAGGTTGACTCCCTGTATATACCATCGAATTCCTCCATTTTTGTGTCTACTCACTTCGAATGTATCAAACCAACTAAGAAGGAGTTTTAGAAAATCAAATACTAGCGCTTTAATCAAAGCTAGTAGTTGCCATATTAATATTTTCTACAGATATTACATATTACCAGATCTCTAAATGGTAATATTTAAATAAGAAATAATAAGAATAATAAAATGACATGAGCAAAGAGTATGTAAACATAGAGAGTGCATGTCGAACAAAATATCAGCAAAGAGTATGTAAACATAGAGAGTGCATGTCGAACAAACGAACAAAACAGAGAATATCGAACAAACTGCCACATACCAAATCTTTTTGACAGAACGAAGTCTGTCGGGTCCGCTAGTTTCTTATGAAAATACATTGATTATATAAAACAAATGTTTCGTATTCAAAAAGAAATTACCTTCATCGTCTCCGACTTTATGGAGACTTTATGTACTAATCCAATAAAATATGAAGACCAGTATTTCGGAAAAAAATGTCCAATGTTTTCCTAGGTGATATGATCTCATGAGGCTTGGAGAATTTGCATTTTAGTTTACTTTTTAATCGCCGTATATCAAGTTCTGCGAATGGTAAAAACTGCATTTTGTGAACTGCATTTAAAGATAATTGATTGAACAGTTTCGCTTTATGTTAGCGATGAAGTATGGCTTTATCCATGCTCATATGTTATGAAAACTGTACATATTCAAAAAAGGCACAGCAGAGTAAACTCTGACTTTTTTTGAAAATAAAAAAATGACAATAGTTTTTATTCAATTACTAAAAAAAACAACGTAAAACAAAATGCCGATGGTATTCTGGTTTCGTATTTTTGTCATTAGCACTCTGTATTTAGTTATGGCTTTGATTTTGTATTTACGTGCTTATTCTTAATTGGATGTTTTAATAAATTTTTCATTTCGTTACTTTATTGTTTCTTTATATTAAATAAATTTAATGAGAACACAACTTTATCATTCGCAATTTTGTGGGTCATATTGGTAATCCAGAAAAAACTTAACTGCAGTAATTGGTAAGTAAGCATAAAGATTATTCAAATATATTGCAAAATCATTTTGAATTAAATTAAAGTCATTTTTGTGTATATTTAATTTTTTACATTTTTTGCTTCATAAAGCATCTACTGGTCTTCTATAAAGCTTTTTAACATATATCTCACCAAAGATATATCGAGAACTTTTCCCAAAAAGTTTCCCTTTCTCCTTATGTCAATCGTTAACCTATTGGTTCTGAATTTCATATTTATTACATGGTTTTGTACTGTATGGTAGCTTTCATTTGACAACATAACTGATAATTATCTTTACTGATTATAACATGAGTTTAATAGTAATCTTTAAAATTCATAAATAAGATCGTTTAGATAATTCGTCTACAGCATTAATACTATGTGCAGACAGTCAAATTTCCTTAATTTCATAAAAATGTAATTAAGTTAATTTCGAAACTTTTCATACTGCCCCAAATTAAGGAAATCATATGTTTTTTGCCTACAAACCGAATGTTAAAAATTACATGCTCCAAACACCATTTGTATTTGGAAAATTTTAAAAACTGATTATTATTACTTTAAAGGATGTTATTCAGTAGTTTTATTAGCTTTAATGAATTTGAAGTATGTGAAGTATTATTTTTCACTATATTTTAAATTAATAATTAAAGTCCCTTTTTTGTTATCTCAACTTTATCTTTTGCTCGAAACTTATCTTACGCATTTGAAATGTCCCTTAATTTCAACGAAGGTGAAATTAAGATTTTTGCGAAATTAAGGTGTGTCTGAACATAGTATAAGGTATGTGATGACTTGCTTTTGGTTAAGGTTAACCACATGTAGCTTCGGCAGAGTCTGTTAGGTAATACATATGTTATGATATAATCACGGATTACTTAATGTCACACTGAAATATGTTAAAGCAATAATATAATTATAGCAAGTAGATCTATATTGGTTTTTTTTCGTCTTACTTTTTTAAGTACGTATTATCTCAAGTTTATAATTTTATATAATTAATCATAATGGAATATGCTTCTTGAGTATGAGCTTCACCTTTTAATAAGTGAAAAACTAGTACATTGTTAAAAAAATAGTTTCCCATTAATTAAGAAAATTGATTAAAATTGAATTATTGAAATTAAAATGAAGTTTATGTTATTTCTTCTTAATTTGTATTGAATTATTTTGTGATATTTTGTAAATAATTCTGTGTAATTTTTTACTTTCGTTTATTTATACTTAATTTTTTTAAATGTTTGAAGTAAAACTTGAGTAGAAGGTCTAATGTTAAAAGTACAAATAATGGAAACATTTGTCAGACACTCCTCAAAAAAAAATTTGTGCAAATCTAAATGCACTCTCAGAAACCGTACTTAAGGACCATACGCAAACTACTTGAGTATGCACTTCACAATACATATGTAAGTATGTAAATTCAAACGGATTTCCATAACTTTGCCTATGATAATATGCGCAACGTACATTCGAGTTGAGATACTCTTGTGTGAAGTCATAAAATATACAAATAAACGCAATAGACATACATATATATATATATATATACGTACATTGTATAAGCACAAAGGATTTTAAGAAAAAGTTTTTATATAGTTTTCACACCTCCTGTTATCTAATAATGTGTTATTTTAACTGATAGAGAGAAAAAAAGATAACTTACTTGCAAGTCTATGAATTTTATTTTTTTTTTAATTTAGATACAGTCATATAAATATACTGCACGAAGACGACTGGACCACGACATGACTTTGTCTGACCGCACAACCAAGTTTGTTTTTATAAGAATTAATATTGGATTATTCACTCTCTTTTGCATATCTAATATGATAAAAACAACTACAATCAATTTAAAATGAAAATTCTGAAATAAAATAAATCTACTTGGATTTTTATGGTTGATGATATTAAAAAATTGTTATACTGATACTCAGTTTGACTATTTTAATTATTGAAATATGTTATCATTTATACAATTTTATATATTTTATGATACAATCTATAGGTATAAACTTAAAGCACAAGAGTGATATTAAGGATATGCACTCAGCATATTCAATAAACTGGAGCTCCGACATTCTAGCTATGTCGTCATAATGAGCCATTTCAGTAAAACATCACTACAATCCAATATCTTCATTATATTATCGATATATTATTCAGGGTAGAACTTATGTTCAAAGATCAATGTTACAAATAAGCACAGCAAATCCACACATGCACTTCCTAAATTTTTTCAGCCTGGACATAGACACAGTAGGTGTTTTGGTGTCCTTTCTTCGATAGCTGGTAGACACGCATTGCAGGATATGCCACAGGTTAGGCCAAGCCTAGTCGCATGCTGTCCTATACTTCAGTACCCTGTAAGAACAGATATTAATGTAGATATTTCTGATTTGCTTCTCTGTAATTATTAAACATATCTAAAAATGACTACACAATTCTTAATGCAGCTTTATAACTAAAACTTTCTGGCACATAAAAGCTCTTTCCCATGCCTTAAGTAATTTGTGCTAATGTAAACGACAAAAGTTCAAAGTTACTCAAGTAACTTACTGAGTAAGAAATGGAAACAAGGTGTTACTGTAATTATCATATTTACTGTACTATTTTCGTGAAGTCACTAAGGCTGCGTAGACATTGCATGCGAATTTTGTCTTGCGTGTTCGTACATATGTTTTCTCATGCGAACTGATCGTATGTTGTGGTTACACTGCTTGGGAATTGATAGTTCTGTTTTGTTTACTTTGAAAATGCTAGTGAAGATGAATAGTGAAGATGAAATATATTTAGGGGAAAATTCGTACTCAAGTTATGAAAAAAACATTTATATGCATTTATACTTGGTTTTTAGTAGTGTACTTTGAGTGCTAAAATTTTAATTCGCTGCAGTTCATTGGTATATTTGGTATATACATAGATATATTTACTGCATTGCTTTTTTATATATGTATATTCTAACGCACTGAAATTTTAAAATATATCTATATAAAAAAATAAATGACTGCTTTCACTTTCGAATAGATATTATAAACTCAATATCAACTTTGTGAAAGTTTTAAATTCATCATACCATATTTGTTATTTAAGTTTCTTATCAAATAAACGTCAGAAAAAAAAAATTTTGAAGCAGTATAAATAAAAAATTTTCAGTACAGTTAACTACAAAATTAAGGGGATAAAATTTTAAGTTCAGGTAAATTTTATTAAACAATTTTGCACTTCTGTTGGCTTTTAAAATGCTTATTCAAAAGTTTTATTAGTATTATATACATATATATTTTTTTTTCATTTTCTTTACAGTATCAAAATGGAACATGACACATACAATACCAAAGAAAATCTGCCACCCCAGGCTTCACTGACTGGCGCTAAGAAGATAGAGGGCTTATTGAAGGAAGCAAACACTGCTGGCATGGTAATATATTTAAGAAGTAAATTAAAAAAAATGTTATATTAACAATTTATCCAATAGGATACTTGCGACATGGATGATTTAGCAGATGTGCCTAGTGTTTCGACTAACCCAAAAGCTAAAAAACTGCCGCTTGAACTAGAGGAAGCTAAGTTAGCATACAAAGTAGTGTAAGTAGTTCCATTTTTCTTATTTCGTTAAGTAGCCACAGTGACTCCAAAAATCAAAAGAACTTATTATGATAGTTTTGACATCATAAATCATATAAATATTCATTATGTTTAAATTAATGTATAATCAAACATTAAAACTTATATGCATCTTTACATAGTCAATACTTTCTTTATTATATTGCTGATGGATGATTGATGATGTAAACTTAACTTCATCTTATACGGTAATTTTTTGAACTCTATACCAAGTAATTTCATATGTACCTAGTAAGATTTAAATCCATATATATCATCCGTCGTTTGAAAAAGTAAGTCGCGTTTGTGGTGCGCCCTGATATTTAATTATTTATTATTTTATTACACATACATAATCAGCTGATATAGACAGCATAGTGCAAAACTACTAAACTGTTGCACAATGTGTTTGGCTTTACATCGTGTAAATATAATAGGTCTGTTCCACAAGCTACTCGTAGTAAAACTTAAGTAAAACACAAGTAAAGTACAAATTAAAACGTAACACAAATAAATTGCCAAATTACACTCTTAACACAGATTGTCATAGAACAGCTTGGTGTAAAATCTGGTGAGAACATCAGTGCGGCGCAAATAAAGAATACAAAAATTTAAATTCAAATTGGAACAGGTGATTCACACATCAACACAAATTTTACCTGAAATAAAATGTATGAGCAAAGTCTGTGTAGCATTTTCAAATTTCAACAGGGATGTTACGCTCGCTCCGATGCTCTCATTTATTAGAAAATTTGCAGGTGAAACGCACTTGTGTATACACAGTGTTACTTAAAGTTACTACTAGTAGCTCGTGTAACAGACTTATTTCAACACTGCACTGTGTTATCGACTTTAAGTTGGGCCTAAAAGCAAACTATTATTATGGCACCTTCACCTGAAAAAAGCAAACAAAACAAAGCTTCAGCTAAGAAAGCTAAAGAAAATAAAAATACTAGTCAAGCATCAGTTGCATTTATACATGACTCTTTACTAGGAAGTCAGAGATCAAACGCAGTTTACGAAAGCTCCAAACTTGATAATTCTACTGCAACCTTCAATAAGATAAGCGAGCTAGAAATAAAAGATCTTCAACAAAATGTGATTGATCTGCAAGTATTATGCCAGCAACTTAAAAAAGACAATACATATCTTTAAGCGAAAAATGCCAATTGTTGTTTGATTGAGAAATTCCAAGAATATTTAACAGGTGAAGAGAAGCTAGCAAAAGAGACGGATTGGATAATAAAGAAGCAATCATTTAAGCCAAAAATATTGAAAGAAAGTGAACCCAATAAAAGAAGTGACCTACGCTCGCTTCCTATACTGATTTCAAATGTTAATCAAAAATCAAAGTACTATTAAAAAAAATGTCCAAAACAACTTAACAGTACTTGGGAATGGGACTCAAAAGATCAATGTTTTCGATGGTGATGATTACAGAGCTGTCACTAAAAGTCTCTGCAATTCGAACTTTAGCTGGTTCTCGTACGAAAATAAGCAGACACGACCCATCGGGGTTATTGCAAACAATGTGCATCATGCATGTGAAAAAGAAAGTATTGTCATCGATTTGCAGCAACAGGGCTTCACAACTTTTATAAAAACAAACTTAAATAAAAAACAAAAGAACAATTAGAAATATTTCATCTAACTTTTAAACATAACGAAAACATCAATGAAATATTCGCCATAAGACATATTCTGCACTCAATTGTCAAAATCGGAACTGTGAAGTCTCCCAAACTTATACCACGGTATAAAAGATGCTAGGGATTTAACCACACTACATATTAAATTATTGCAATAGGATAACGAGACGTGTTAAATGTATAGGCAATCATCTCACTATTTATTGCAATGAATTTGACAATGAATTGTTAGAGTGTTGCAACTTTGGTGAGAACCATCCTGCGAACTACCAAGGGTGCGTTGTTGTCAGGAACAAAATAAAATACTGATCAACAAACCAAAAACACTTTTCAATAAAAAAGTGGAAAAGAAAAACACGGTGTGGGTAATACTTTGGTAAAAATAGTAAAGCTTTTAATTAAAATATGGTCTAAAAATTTTTGTTTTTGTCTTTTCATTTCTATTTGAACCCTTCTAACTTTTTTTTTAGTTTCTGCTTTTTTTTTTTTGATAAAAAAATATAAATTAGTGTGTTCACGATTTTATGTATAATGAAAGTAATTTTATCCAAGTATGATTAAAAAACAATTTATGGTTTTTTAATTGTGGTTTTAAAGACTTAAAACGTTATTTTAATTTAATTTGAAACCATATGCTTTATATTATCATAAATACTATATATCTTATATTCTTACATGATATTATGTATCTAAATATTATATAATTTTTCGTTTAAATTTTTAAATTTGTTTCAAAATATTCGTATTTTAGACATGCAGTTGCAACCTTTTCTGTTGGGTGTTCTTTAAATCTCCAAATGGTTAGAAATGCAATCCCGAATGCTAAAATTGATCTCACGGATTATATGGGTGTTATTGTAAAAATGACAGAGCCGAAGTGTTCAACCATGATTTATAGAACTGGAACAATAGCGATCACAGGTGCTCGCAATGAAATTCATGCATCGCATGCTGCCCATGTCCTCCTGTCGCAACTGCAAGCAATTGGATACAATGTTGGTTTTCATAACTATAAGGTTTCGGAAATATCAGCTGCATTGGATTTAAAATTTCCAATAGCTTTGCAGGAGTTGTATGTGAAGTATGTACATATTTGCACCTATAAGCCAGATATATATAAGCCGCTCATTTTTAATTTGCCTGAACCGGATATTACAATCTTTATTGCACCGGATGGGAATGTTATTTTTACTCAGGCAAAGAATCGTGAGGATATCGTAAAAGCAATTGATGTAATGTATCCAATTCTAGTGACTTTTAAGAAATAGACATTTACAATTATTTTATTCACAATTTTTCAAATTCCCATAAAATATATCCATAAAATATTTTTATGGATTAAATGTATTCCACAAAGTTTAATAAAGAAATTTACTATTCAATAATATTAAAGTTTTTAAAGTAGCTAAGATAATACCAGTAGCCTAATATTTATCGCTTCTTTTATCAAACCCTGTATCTATATATACATAAGTGATATTTAATAAATCTGCACGTTATATATATTATTACCAGAAGAGGAGAATATATCAGAGGAGTGCTGTAAAACTAAAAAATAATATATATAAAAATAATATGTGCATATACTGATTTTTATAAACGACATATACAGGGTATCGCATATAATCTGCAACTCTTTAGAACGGTCCAGTTTTTTTTTTATCCAAAATTCAATTTTAGTGAAGAATAGTGAAAGTGAAAGTGGAGAATATTAATTGGCAACCTTGAAGATTATTCACCTTAAGCGGGTGTTATACATCATTGAATGTTGACTTTGTGCGTCGTAATGCGAAATTTTACTCAAGTCTCATGTGTAAAAGCAACATTTGCAATAATGACAAACAGACTGAAGGAAATCAAAATACATATTTTGATTTTTCGTCAGTCTTGTTTGTTTCTTTCCTATACAATCGGATCATAGTCGGCTTTCATGCAAATTTAATTCTGTTTTAAATCGTGAATCACAATGGATCGTTCATCACGAAAAGTCAACATACAAGAATAATGTGTAATACCCACTTTAAAGATAGTAAAAGAATAAAGTTTATAACGACGCTGATTGTCAAGAAGATGTCTGCAAACAAGCGGATCAGATTAAACTTCAAGTCAGAGAAACTTTAAAGTGACTCATATATGGTATACAAAGCTATAGTTTTAGTATAGTATTTACTCTGTAGAACACATGACGCTTCTGCAAAAAACAATTGTTGACATGGTAGTAATGGGACGGATACCTATCTTGAATAAGGCAACTGCTTATGGTTTGCGTGTATAAAAAAAAACCGCGCGCTGGCTCAATTAATTTTCGAGTAAAATAGTGACCATATACGGATTCACTTTGAACGTGGTAAAGGAAGAGGACTTTAATGCAAAGTCCTCAGAATTAAAAGCAAATACACTGTTAGATGAAGTTACTAAGCTGTTACTAAGATTAGAATTCTAATATTTTAGTCTATTGGCATTATTATTATAATAAACCAACATAAGATATATTTAATGATATAATTAGTGCTATAATATATAGATAAATAATAGATAGATAAATTAGGCTCCCAATGCAATATGGTTACATTACCATATTTGTTGTACTGTTATTGTATAGATTGTATTTGTACAGAAAGTATTTCGACAGTAGACATATATTATCCTATCATCTTCTTTTCAATATCACCCTTTCATCATTATCCTTTCATCATTATTCTATTATCATCATCCTTCCATCATCATTCTTTCATGATCATCCTTTCATCATCATCCTTTCATCATCATCCTTTCATCATCATCCTTTCATCATCATCCTTTCATCATTAAATTTTGATCATATATTTGAATAAATATTTATGTAAACATTTATTTGACACATATATTTTATTAAAAGATGTGTATTAAACCAGAAAACAAAAATAAATAACGATAAAATTCTCTATCATATAGCTAGCAATTTCAGTTAATATTTTAGGCAAATATTTTTTTATATTAGAAAAAAACTTTGAATCCGTAATTGCAGTGCAAATTAAAAGCATTTATCTATCATTTAAACTGCAATCGAATATCAAATGCAGTTGAATAAATCCAAAAAATTATAAAACTTTTAAGCTCATTAATTTATTTTTGTAAATTAAACATATTTGTATTCGTTTTATTTGAAACAAATTAGTTGCCAATTAAGAAACTATATTTTTTTTGTTTTTATTTTAAAATTTTGAAGTTCAATATTTCAGATTAAAATTTGTTATATTTAGGCAATAAATTTATGGCAAATTATTTTCCATTTAATTAGACAGTAAAAAATCTTTTTGAAATATAATATTACGAAATGAATTAATGTTTTCAAAACATAATTAGTTTTAAATAGAATCGAAAGCGAAATATTGCAGTGAATATTTTACTGAATTTATTTGCAAAATATAATATTTTAACAATATACATGCTTTTTGTAATTAATAATTTAATCTCAATTTAGGGACAAACTGAAATAATTAAAACAATCAATTTTTCTATCATTATACAATACTTCTAATTTAATACACTTATCATTTAAAAATTTATTAAATTGACTTAAATTAATATTGTTTGTATCTAAAATTAAAAAATAAAGAACACACAGCTCAAGAACTTGACTTTTGTAGGAGGAATGTCAGTATTAAACACTCGCTTCTAATTAAAAGTCGAAATAGTTATCATTTCTGTACGATAACAATAAAATAATAAGAAAATAAAATTAATTTAATAATTCTATTTCATACGATTTAATTAAATTAAATATTTAAAACTTAATATATAAAACATAATTAATTATTAAGCATCATGGTGTTATATGTATTGGTACTATAGGGCAAAATACTGTCTTCACTACCGAATATAATAAGAGAATTTCCACTAACAACAATTACGGTTGCGCTACTGCCGGTGCTTGCTCATCATACAATACGCAAACCTCAAATTTTTGTATGAGACTAGTATGAAATTTCATCAAAAATCCAATTTAAAATAATTTGGAAGAACTTGTGCATTGCATGCATAAAAGCCAAACATATTTTAAGAAAAAAAAAAATACAAAAACCAAGTCACTTACCCTTGCATACAAAGACATTTAGTAATGTGCAATAACAACTAATAGAAGAAATAATGTTGTTGCTGTTTGTCTGTCCATTCAGTACCAAAAAAACTATACTTCGATTTTGGCTCTATTCGTGCGGATGAACTAGAATCTAAGTATGAATTTCCTCTAATATCAGAGTTTCTTCTTTCTTTCTTGGTTTTACCTAAGCAAAATATATTGTGTGCGATATTGGTTTGATGGGTGAATACACTAAGAATTTATTAACGATCATACATGAAATAATAAGTTGGATGGTGTTCATGTTTAAACAGATATGTTTTTCCCATTGTGGTACACTCAATGGAGTTCATGAAATTTTTAACAGATACAAATCAGATGTCTTTATATTTCTATGTTTTTGATTACAACTGTTTCCTCTACTATTATCTCTACTGCATCATTCCACCTTGTCTCATAGCAGAGCTCAAGAACTTGACTTTTGAAGAAGGATATACCAGTTATCCTCGCCCAAGTTTATCTCGTGACTTCGCATACAAGGTAAAACTGAGGTTTCAAAATGTAACCAGTACTGAGATGTTAAATTAGTCTTCTCCACATACAATCCTTTCTGTTAGTGTAAATAACAGAACTATGTTAAATCAATTTTAACCTGTACTGATTTTAAACGTGATAAATTCATCCCATTAAATTATTAATCATTTAAACTGAGCGAAAGCAAATATTTTCAGATTCAAAATTTTTTCAACATGATTTTAACATAATAGTGCCTCGTGCTTCGTGCTTTATTGCATTTAAATTTGGCAAGGAGGCTGTCATCGAATTGCATTCTTATTCTCCTTTTGTTCAACTGTTCACTGAAACCAAAGAAAGTTCTACCAAATTCAAATCAGTATTTTACGATTGGAGGTGCGACGAATCGTTGGGTGTTGTCACAAGTGTTTCTGACACACACCACAAATTCCGTGGGACAAGATGAATTATTGCTTGCATTCAGGCCAAAATGTTTAAATTTTAATTTCGTTGGAAGTGCAAATGTATACATTAGGACCAACATAAATTTCGAATTGAATAAATTTATTAATCTTTTCCTACTCATATCCATCCACTTATTTTTTTTACATTTTTCCATTATATTGCAGTTTTGAAGTAACTTAAATTACAGCTATTTTTTTGGATGAGTGTAAGGCCTCGAAAGTCACCGCGTGAAACTTTAACTAATAAAACCACATGTAAGAAATTAATACTAATGTTTCCAGTCATTGGTTCGTGAAGACTAGAGTACTTACATTAAGACCGAAAAGTTTTCGGAAATTCTCATTTAAAATTCGCGCGCTGTATATTTTTCGATATTTTAAGTTTATGTAGTTTGGCAGCACTGTCCTTAATTACTATGCCAAAAATGAGCGCGATCTGTCAGACAGTTCGTTTACGGCAGCTGTTGAAACCAGTTCACCTCAGTAGGGCGTTGCGAAAAAAACAATGGAAAAAAATATTGAACAAAGAGTTTGCATCAAATTTTGTGTTTCGAACGAAATTTCGTGTGCAGAATCGTTGCGAATGCTACAAAAGGCTTATGGGGAATCAGTTTTATCGAAAACTCAAGTTTATGAGTGGTACAAAGCCTTCCAGGACGGTCGTACGACCGTCGAAGACATTTCGCAACGCACTACTGAGGTGAACTGGTTTCAACAGCTGCCGTAAACGAACTGTCTGACAGATCGAGCTCATTTTTGGCATAGTAATTAAGGACAGTGCTGCCAAACTACATAAACTTAAAATATCGAAAAATATACAGCGCGCGAATTTTAAATGAGAATTTCCGAAAACTTTTCAGTCTTAATGTATACCATCAATTCAGAGCAAAAGTTAGCAGACAACATTTTTATATTTGAATTTCTTTAAGTCAGAGCGCGATGATGGTGGTGAAGGTTATTACTTATGAACAGATTGTACCTGATTAAAGTAAAGTAAAAGATATTGGACACACTTCAGCGTCATAGCTAAGATTAAACTTCATAGCTAAGAGAAATGCCGCAATTGTAATAAAAGTCAAGAAAATTGTGATATAGCAGGTTAAGATAGTGTCAGGAGATTGAAGTTAGATTGTTGTCAATGACAATTATGTACGTAATGGCATGAATCAGGGGGTTTTAAAAAAGTGCTTGTCGTTATGTTTTTATTTGTAACTAATACAGTCATGTAGACTATTACTCTCAAACAAGAGAAATTTTTCGACTTGATCTCAACTAATTGTAGACTAAAAAGAGTAGCTATAATCGCATGTGAGAAGGGATCGGATAAGAAAATTACAATAAAGGAGTGTAATCTTTTTATTGAGCTGATAATGCCGGCGGAGAGAATTTTTAATTTCGACGTGCATAAAGATAATATATGGATGATGTGTCTAATATTAGGAATAAAATTGTACTTGGGAGAGACTATAACAGCAAAAGATTTCAGCGATTGATATAAAACTTTTTTTCGAACCCACAAAGTTTTCAATAAAACTAGTACAACTAAACAATGGGTAAATGATGTCGACGGCGTTAACACAAATGGTAACAAGTGGTGGTAAAATTTGAATAGATAGTAACGATAACAAGACAAAAGTAGAATTATTTCAATGAAAAGAACCGGAAAAATAGCTCCAGCACTGATAAATTGGAATATTGATATCGATTTAAATATTTTATTATAAGTTTTTTGTTAAACTATCATAAAGTTCATCAAGAATGCTATTCACATTTTGGAGAGACAACTCGTGTATTTTTATTTTAGGGAGACTTCAATGAAGAAGATGGAATAGTCATTAAAGATAAATTTCCTTCTTTTTTCATTTTTTATGGTAAATTATATTAAAGAAATCAATTAAAATGCTTTAATTTAATTTCACAATAATGAAAATAATTTAGAATTTAGAAGTACCACGTTTTGAGAAGAACATCCATTGATGTAGTACAAGGCTGTCCAGACTATATGCGCTCGCGTGCCAATATAAATTACTGTACAGATTGGAGGGCCGCAGAAATAAATACATACGTTTATAGTTGTTTTCGACAAAAATAAAAATTCGGTTATAATTTTAAATATAGTTTTATTAATTTATTAATATGTACTATAAAAATAAATTAATGTAGTTTTACAGTACACCAAAAGAAAATTTGCGTAATTGTGGTAGATTAAAAATATGTCGCGGGCCACAAAAACATTAAACGCGGGCCTCATGTGCTTTTAACAGCCCCGATGTAAAAGATTACATGTTTGATTGGGTTGTCAGTTTTAATATTAGTGGGTTATAATATTTTGGAGTCTTCGATCAAAACAATCAAAGATCCTAAGCCCACGAGTAATTTAATTATTTGTAATTGTAATTTAAATAGGGTTACTTAATAACGTTATGTAGGTAAATAATCTCAGGACTTTCTTTATATAATTATAACACAAATCGTTTAAAGAAATCACAGCACCAAAGATGTCATGGTTATAAATTTTAACCGAATTACAATTCACGAGTATTTAAGGCACCTCTCAGGAAGAACCCTTTTCACTTTCATTCCTTGTTTACAGTTTAACAGTCATTGAATTGTTTATAAAATTCAGGGAAGTAATTTAATTTATATATATATATTTTTTTTTTGATTTGTAAAATATAACAATTGAAGAATATAATAAAATTTCCGTTTAAATATTTTTAATAAAAATATGAATTAAATGGAACATCCTTAAATTTACTAGAAAAAAAATTTTAAATTAATTTTTAATATATCCTCACCTTGTTTTAAGGTTTCATTAGTGCCAAAATGTGAACATAATTAGTCACTCTGCTTTAATGTAGGTATGTATATATGCGTATATATAATCGGTTTTTGTGTATTAATTATATACACATCTCTGAGTTTATAATCACCATTTATAAATATATATATTATTGAAACAATGCAGTTTGTATGTACATGAGTAGAAGCGCATTTTTTAATTTGCAAACATTTATTTTTCAAAAAAGTATCTTAGCAATGTCAGGCACGTATTTTATTGTTGCTGTTGCAAAACCCACAAAAATATTAAAAAATAATAAATATGAAAAAATGGAAAAAGGATTCTTCTATAAGCAAATATATCCATGAACCGGTGTTTACCGAAAATTGGCTACGCAGCACACACTGGTTGTGCGGAATACCGCAGCACGCCTGCAGCCGTTCGGAGTGCATGAAATCACTTAAAATCATTAAGCAAATAATGACTATCTGTGGTATGTCAGATGAGGGTGCGGAAAAAAAGCGTAAAAAAATTTCAATAAATTTAAAATATTAATCTACACATTTCATTTAAAAAAGGCAAATAGGACCAAGTGTACAGAATAAGCTATGGCATCTATTCTCTTAGCTGTGGGAGAGGATTTGGCTTCTGTTCACACAGATCTATACAAAACAAAAAAAAAAAAACAAAAAATGACTGGCGGTTAAAACATTTTTTTTTCTATTGAAAAATTGCCCAACGTGGCATTTCAGTGCATCAAACACAGAAGTTTTGCATGTGGCAGCACTGAGCCACCATTAAACAAAACTGTATGCTTGCAGCGCAGTTTAAGCGTGCAAGGATATTTGCATTTGTGGAATATATGGGATATGATGAAATTTAATTAATTTCATGATTTTTGTACTAAGGCACGTTGTGTTGCGTATTCCAAAGAGCAAAAATGCAACTGGTATTAGTGTGCTTGAATAGCTTTGTGGGCGTTTTCATTGGGCGTGTAGAGCTGCTTTTGAATTGTATACTCATGTGCATACTTATGGTATATGGAACATTGTGGATGCATCCATTTTATTCATTAATCATTTTTTGCAAATACGAGTGTTTAAAAACAGTCAAATGAAGCGAATGTGGCTGCCAGATGTGTGCAATGTGGAGTAATAACGATGTGGCATTATTTTCGTTTTGTAAATAATTAATTAAAATTATCTAAAATCAAACTAATTGATAAAAAGATACTGATTTCATGTTTTACGCTATGACGCTAAATTAAATTTATTAACAAATATTTCCATGTATGTAATATGTCAACGATTTCACATTATTTTATTAAAATGCTTACAATAAATAAAAAACGAATGCAGTGGTCATACTAAATAGAGCATTAATCCAAGGCATTAGCTGCAGTAAAACTAACGGTAATATTTCTGCGTACCGAACAGAAACCGTGGTATTTATGATCATTTTATAGTCTTAAAGTCAGTTGTGTTTTTTTACAATGTTAACTTTTATTTCGACCCGTTTCCTTTAGTATATTTCTATACATATTTCGGCAAATTAGCTTCTGCTTTCGTAATGCGAACTCCTAATATTATAGTTCTATTATAACCTACTTATAGTCAGCAGCCACAGAAAGAAAAAAGAGATGACGTATGAACTATCAGCAAAACACAGCAAAGATCAGCAAAGCTGAAATATTCGTCAGAAACATTAAGACTTATCTTAAATACAGCAAAGTGGTGAGGCACACGTTATAAATAGATATAGAACTAAATGGACTTATACTTTTGTTAAAGTACCCTTCACACAAATATTGTCATTCTGTCGGAAATCAATACAACATATTATGAATATAATATCAAATAAATTAACTTTTAAATATTCATGCATAATAGACAATTTACTTGTTCATAGGATCATATTATGTAGAAATTAAACAGAAAGAAAATTATACAGAAAGTCATATCACAATTTTCAGTTTCCTGAATTTACTACTATACAAGAAAAAAGATCTATTTTCTTTTAATAGTCACAAATTTAATACAATACGTTATTCCATTTATAGCCAAACATAGGAAGCCGCAAGGGTGCCGCAAGAGTTCTTTTAGCCTCAGTTTCCAAGTCGGTAATGCTATATGCTGCCTCTGTATGAGAGCATGCTACAACCGTCAAGTTGTATTCACGCGTAATGAAAAGTGCATATAGACTGTCAAATTTACGCATATGTCGTGCTTACCGTACAGTATCGGACGATGATGCGGATGAAACGCCGATATACCTTGAAACTTTTCCTGGCTCGCGGAAAGTTTTTTCCTGCGGCTTCGCCTACAAATTATTGAAACTGAATAGTCTCTGTCAAATTCTTATCCAGAATTAAGAGACAAAAACCTTAATGAATGGCAACATCGGTGCGATCATTCCCAAAAATCAAGATGGACGCAATCGATAATTTCAAGTATAAAAATTTGCATACAACGAGCTGTTGTATTCGATTGATTGTTCTATGAAAGCTTGTGTAGTATTAATGTTATCAATGCAGGAGCGGTTAGGATGGAAGCCAGCTTGTTGTTTGCAGAGTCTTTCGTTTAGTGGTTGTGCAAAAAATGTAATATGTTCAAAATATTGAATTAAAAAATAGTTTGCTTTGAAAAATAAAATTAAAACATAAATAAATTCAAAAATATTGAACATATAAATATTTTCCTCCAGCTGAAAGTTTCTGTATCAAATTAAAAGTCTATTTTCAGGATTCTTCCATTTCGATATATATTTTGAACCAAAATTATAATAATGTCTTCAATAATCAGAAGTAAAAGTTCTTATTTTTCTGCATATACTGTTATGTTAAGGGATCGTTACGAGGTTGATAAATATAGACGTGCAATGACATCAAAATGGGTGCAAAACATACCAAAAGATGCTCTACCAGTGGAAGATGTTGAAAACTTTGATCACCGTTATGAAGAAGAATGTTGTAAGAAGAAAGCCTTATCTCAATCATCTACTACTAAGGCATCACCAAAAAAGCAATTAAGGCCAATCAGAACAATTCCAGAAATACTATCAAGTAATTTAACTAAACCCAGACAGTATCCTGTTTACAAAACACCAGAACATGAAGCTAAAAAATCAGTGGAAAAGAGCAGGTCAAAAAAAATTAAGGAATTAAGTCAAACTGCTAAGCGAAATATTGGAGGGGAAGAACTTAGAAAAGCGGTTATTAAAAAAATATCAAATAAAATCAAATCAAATCAAACAGTCAAGCATAAAATCCCAGGGCAGGAAGTGAAAAAGGGGGTGGAAAAATGTATACCAAATAAAACAAAGAAACCGATTCCACCTGCTAAGCTTAAAGAACCAGGAGAGGAACAAAAAAAAACTTCGGAAAAACCTTTACCAAATAAGATCAATAAAGTAAGTCAACATGCTAAGCAAAAGGTTTCAGAAAATGAACTAGAAAAAGCTACAGGCAGAATTAAATCGGCAGTAAATAATATGTCACGTAAAATGTACAAACCTATTGTTGCAGAACAGAATTACTTTGAAACAGCGAAAAGGGTTTACTCCAATAAAACCAATAAACCATATCAATTTACTAGGTTTAATATTACAGAAGAAGAATTAGAAAAAGCAGTGGAAAAAATTTTGTCATATAAAACAAATAAACCAAATCAAACTGCTAAATACAACCTTACAGATCGTAACCTAGAAGAAGCTGTAGAGAAAATTCTTTCAAATATGCAAAACAATGTTAACCAATCTGTTAAGTATAAGGTTACAGGGAATGATCTACCTAAAGGAGTAGGCAAAATTCTTTCAAATAGGCAAAACAATGTTAGCCAATTTGACAATTATAACGTTACAGGGAAGAACCTAACTCAAGGAGTAGAGAAACATTTCTCAAATAAGCAGAACAATGTTTGCCAATTTGTCAAGTATAACATTATAGGGAAAGATCTAGCCCAAGGAGTACAGAAAAACCCTTCAATGGTAAAGGGTAAATCAAAACCACACGTCAAAGCACAACGAAAACCTAAAAAGGTGCTAAACAAACAGCAAATCGAATTTATGAGAAAACTTCAAGCATATGAAAAATCCGTGCTATTTGAGGCAATGAAAACTCTACAGGAAAGTATTCCATCCACTAGCACTTTGCAAAGCAATAAACTTGATACCTTGAAGTGCGGTTATAAAGCGATTCCATCTCCCAAATTAGAAGCATCACAGCAATTTGAACGGGTAATTGATCAGCAAACTCTCAATGGCTTGTTACAGCAAGAGGCATTATGTTCAAAATCTAAACACAAATCGTTGGCTAAGCAGAAACTTAACTACGTGGATATTTTGGAAAGACGAAATCTTGGCCTTGATGGAAACCATGCACCTTACAAGCAAAGCTATAAAAAGTACGATTTGCTTACAAAACCATCAATTAATCCAAAATTATCTGAAGTTAGCAGTGCACGTCTTTACGAAAAATACATAAACAGCAAAAAAGATGCGTCCGAAGATGATGGTTCACCATTTATAAATTGTGACGAGTCGGATAAATTGGTTGAGACTCTGATTCATTTGAAAAATATGAACTCCAGACATTTATCAGAGAGAGCTGAAGCGATCCGAAAAACTTTCTCACTAAGTAAGAATATAGTTTACAACCCCGTAACGCGGCAAACATATCACAAACTATTGCCAAGTAAAGTGAGTCCATATTCGAAGTCTTCACGAAAGGAAAGAAGTCTTTTACCTCCACTTTGGGTAGGTAAGCGAGCATCGTGTATACGTAAAAAAGCTAAATCCAGTTCAAGTAGAAGTGAAATGGATCAACGATTCTATAATATGGGTGCGGCTTATATGAAAGCACTACTTGCCGGTCGAGCTGCACAGAAACTTTCTCAATCGGCCCAACGCTCACATGTTGTAAAGAAAACAAGGACTGAAACAAGTGAGAACATAAAACAATATATCCACTTACATAATTAATATTCCATTTTTTTTTATAAATATAAAAATAGATTTGAGAAGGCATATTCATCCAAGATGAATACATCAAAAACTTTTTGTTAAACCAGCAGTAAAACAGAATCTTGATAATATATAAAAAGGAAAATGAAAAATGAAACAACGTGGAAGGAAGGAATATATGAAGAAGGAAAATATTCATATGTTGTGAATGTATGTGAATGAAAAAGGGGAAAGGAAGTAGTAGTAAATAAAAGATGTTGAGTAAAACAAAAACATAAAATCGGATAATGGTAAGAAGACTAGTTAATGGAAATAAATCGGTAAGTGAAGGATGAGAAGAACGGATAATACAGGATTAGAAGAATTGCTCGTAATTCGAAAAACAGTTTATTTTAAAACATAGATGTATTGTACTTGGATGCATTAACAAATATTTTGTAAATCTTTTAGATAATTATTAAACAAAATTTGAGTGATAGCAAATTGAATTCGAAATAATCAATAAAAAAAATAAATAAATTTCAGTAAAAGTATTGTTCTAACGAGAAATAATATTGATTAGTTAAATATGTTTTTACTTATTTTGTAGAGGTAGTGAACTACAATAACAAAAAATATTTTTGTATTATTTTAATTAATTGAGTTTTCGGCTGAATGTACAGCTGTTTCGAGTATTGCTAAATACACATTATCAGTGGTCTTGCAGTTATTCCTTGTATTTACTTAGAAGTAAATAGTTTTTTCAGACTGCGAGTATTAGGGATTGTACTCGTGCCCTGCCAAATTTGAAGCTCAGTTATATTTTGTTTTCAAAAATAAACATTATTTTCGATTGTTTTATTTTTAAGGCTAGAATAAAAGTTATTTTTGCGTTTTAAAATAAAAAGCAGAGTGTAAGATTTATTTATGCTTGAAAAAATAAAAGCACATGATAATAATTATTTTTGTTAATAACACAATAATATATATTTAATTATTATTTTTTGAGTTTTATTTTAAAATGCGAATGATAAGAGTTATTGCTTGATTTTATTTCTTTTTAATAATCACTGTTATAGTTCCTGCCAAAAATAATTTTTTGAAAAATTTTAAAATAAACACGGTTTTTAATTTTTAGAGATTTTTTAAAAAACATCAATTTGGAAATAAAATTATTTTTCAACCCATTTAAATGCAATATATATCCCGAGTATCAAACTAAAAGATGAAGCTACTGTAAGAGTTAACCTATTTATAAAAACTTTTTTTGTGATATTGACTGTTTTTTGATTTCAGAATTTCGCTGAATATTAAATATGAACCTTGTTTTTTTTAAGAACCCCAATTTTTTTCGTTCCTTATATCAACTCAAGGGATTTAAAGAATATGTTTATTAGATTATATCATCTGTACTTTTCAATAATATTATATTAGGTCATTGTAACATTACTTACATTCACAGCTTTCCAAAGTATACCGAATAGCTGCGAGAGTATTATAAATCTGACTTAGCATTCAAAACAAACAAATTACAAAAAAAAGGGGAAAAACCTGAAGCAAATATTTTGGTTTAGTCTTATAAAAGCATAATATCTTTTATTTACATATTCTTTTACGGTTTTTTAAAAAGTCCTCGTCTGTACTTACTACTTGCTGCTTTAGCTTTGTAATTTCAAGCGGCTCCTTGCTTTATGCAAATAATTTTCGTAGATCTTTATTCTAATTTTTTTTTCAGTCTGTCCTGGTGTTCTTTTCTGATTACAGCACTGAAAAAAATATGTTTCATAAAAAAAATGTGTTTGTTTTAATTCGCAACTTTCACTGGCAAAAGTCTTTGAAGTGTTTTTTACGGCTATCTTAGCGCAGTAATGTTCCTGAGGCAGTGCGCCAGTGCATGGCCCAATGTGTAAAATAGAAATGCGTTTATTTTTTGAGTTCTGGTTTCTATCTAAGTACGTAACTAAAGTAGAAATAAAACTTAAAAAAAAACCAGAAAAAATTGAATGAAAAATGTTATGAAAAGGGGCTGTATTTATTTGCATGCAGTATGCTTCGCACTCACAGTGCTTTAGTTGTCATGCCAGTATAAAAACAAAAATGTCGGAACCTTTGCGTTAACCAAGAACTTTAGAAAGAATATAGCCACAATTGCAGCCATAATGGCCGCAATAATTGAATTAAAGCATTACTTTTTTTCCTCGTACTGACACCACAGCACAATAACTCTTACCATTTCGTTCCATTTGCCGCCAGTGTTGTTGCTCTTCATGTTGCAAACCGTGCTTTCGATTTTTTTTACTCCTTATTTACTTCACTACTACTTTTTTAATCTAGATAATTTTGAATATACGATGAAACTTAATTGTTCTTCCTCATATTTCCTTCAAAGTTCAAAATAAAGGGCGGAAAGAATTAAATTTTATAGTTTCTTTAGTATATAAAAGTCGTCATTCTCTTCTTTAACTGAATTTCTTTATAAATTCGTAAAAGACATCATAAGTATTTTCAACCATTAAGGTTTATTGCAATACTAGATCAGCGTCTTTTTTCTAGCGATTGTATGCATCACTCAGGATGCGTGTATTATTAGAGTATTGTATTAAGAGTAAGCAACCTCAGACATGTGTTTCAGTCCCGTAAAACTGGCAGCCACCAAGTATTTATGTCGAGTTTTCGAAACAGCCAGACAGTTATACGGCTGATATTCTAAAGTTTCCTATGCATCCGGCGCATTGCATTTCCTACAAGCATCGCTGCGAATTAGGTTTAGTTTGTATACGTGTGATACGACTAAACTGTGCCCTGCCAATACACCAATTAATGATTTTCATTTTTTTCGGCTAAACGATTTAACATTTTCAGTGTATTTTTTGTCGCATATATGTCTACACATGATCCTAGCTTTTCTACAGATGTTTAAGTTTCGCAGCCTTTTCTTTGATTTCCTTGTCATGCGCTCGTCTTGGAGATTATGTATCTGTTTCGAGGTCTGACTAATTAGCTTGTTCTAAAAAATATAATAAATTGACTTGTACATTGTGACCGAAAAGTTTTCGGAGGTTCTCATTTAAAATTCGCGCGCTGTATATTTTTCGATATTTTAAGTTTAATGTATGTTTGGCAGCACTTGTCCTTAATTATATGCCAAAAATGAGCGGCGATCTGTCAGACAGTTCGTTTACGGCAGCTGTTGAAACCAGTTCACCTCAGTAGTGCGTTGCGAAAAAAACAATGGAAAAAAATATTGAACAAAGAGTTTGCATCAAATTTTGTGTTTCGAACGAAATTTCGTGTGCAGAATCGTTGCGAATGCTACAAAAGGCTTATGGGGAATCAGTTTTATCGAAAACTCAAGTTTATGAGTGGTACAAAGCCTTTCAGGACGGTCGTACGACCGTCGAAGACATGCCGCGTTCTGGACGACCTTCGACCTCTACCACCGACGAAAACATTGAAAAGGCAAAGGAAATCGTGTTCCAAAATCCTCATGTGAGTGTTAGAGAGATAGCACGAGAGCTAGGCATCGGTCGTGAGATGGCTCGTTCAATTGTGGAAGGATAATTCATGGATTTTTCATGACGATATGCTCCCTCGCACCGAGCCAACATTATCAACGATTTTAAGGCCCAACATTCAATAAATACCATCGAACAGCCACCGTATTCACCTGATCTTGCACCGTGTGACTTTTTCCTGTTTCCCAACCTCAAATTACCACTCAGAGGAACGCGTTTTGAATCCATAGAAGACGTAAAACAGAATTCGCAGAGGGAACTCAAAGCCATACCGGAAAGCGCCTATAAAAAATGTTTTGATGATTGGAAGAAACGTTGGCATTTGTGTATCGCTTCTAATGGAGCATATTTTGAAGGAGATAAAATAAATATTGATGAAGATTAAGAATTTTGCGTTTTATTTAAAATTTTCCGGAAACTTTTCGGTCACAATGTAGACCAGAAAATAAAAAAAGATTCTCTAACAAAATTATAAATCATTAGTTTATACCATATGACAGCTATATTTAAATCGATATGAATAAAAATTAATGTACAAATTCTATTATATGAATGAGTACATTCTGCACCAAATTTTATATGATTATTTTTAATATATAAATTCTTTAAATTATATTCCACCTATAAGAGATACCGGTCAGTTTTCGGTCAATCCGACAAATGATTCAGGTCCACTTTCAAAAAGCGTGTGCTCAAAGTTTCATTTGCATAACTTAAAGGACATAAAAGATAGTGGTCCGAATTCGGCCAATTCGCCGAATGATGCAGGACCACTTCCCAAAAGCGTGTGCTCAAAGTTGTATCTCAATAGCTCAAAAGATTAAGAACTAGTTTGAACTGAAAAAGATAATCAGGAATTGTCGAGCTCATCCAAAATATATATACTTTATAGCAAACTTGATGTCCTCTACTCACACTGTTTCTTTAGAAAGTGTTATAAGTGATATAATAAGTTGTTATCAGTTTATTCACATTTATTTATTAAGTTTAAAATTTAATATGTTGATATTTTCAATATTTAAAGAATTTTGTATGCAAAATAATTTAATATTAAATAACAACTGTTGAGAAGTAGATGACAACAATCAAAATAAAAACAACTAATCAAGTTTTTTACGCTATCGTTTCTATACAAACTTAAAATTAGTTTCCATCCATGAATCCAAATATATACAATCTATGGAAGCGGATATTAGTTTCAATAAAAGCCAGGCACATTGAAACAAGCGATCACGTAATCCATACACGTCAGCATTTATTGTTGCGCCATGACTTCACGCCACCCACACTCGCAATAATAAACTCAAAACAAATGCTTTATCCGCTGAAATAATATATATCAGGATACTAACTGAAATAAGCTTATGGAGCCTGTTATGACAGCTAGTAAACTGACGGGCATGCAACACCTGAAAGTAGGAAGAAAATCTCATCAAATCCTACCACACTCAGTATTTCGATTTACACAACAAATTCACCGGTAATGCCTGTCTGTCGCATGTGCTGATGCGTGCCTGCGTGCGTGTTTAAGCTTTTCCGCTTACCGGAAACTTATTACCAAAATACAAGCAACAATAGACCAAACCGCATAACAGACGAGAAAAACAACCAGGTATGCGGATTTAGGCGGACAGCCAGACAAATGAGAATAAAAGCTTAATGCTATGAGGTGAAGCGCGGCGCGTATCAGCAACAATGTTTGCAACATAATTCAATCACGTCGACTCTTGTTGACGTGGCATAATTTTAGCAGTTTCAACGTACTCACATCCTCCCACCCTCACTGTGCGACTTGAAATGTAATAATATTCGGTCACGTTTTGAGCTGTGATTTCTCGCTAAAATTTCGGTGTACGCCAATAATACCGCAACGTAAAACGCATGAATGGTGCCATTTTTAATTTGATTGCACAATGAGAACAGTGCAGTGGCAATCATTTTAGCTGGAGAAGCATTTTCATTAACATTGCCATTATTCTTAGCAACGTAGCTAGAGACGTTCGACCTTTCAATGTAC